TTTCCTTCTTACCTGGATCATTACTTAATACTAGAACCGGCTGCAAACCATTAAACATATCAAACATTCCTAAGTGTTTTTCAATTTAAATGGGGAAGATTTTGCAAATTTTAATTATTGAAAATAGAGACCTTGCGCATGCGCAGACGTTTTGCACGCGTGTCGGAATCTCATAAAGATAAGGTCGCGTGCTATTTTTAGTTGATTTAGGTTTTCTAGTTACTTCAAGGTCGATAAACGTCTTCGTTTGCGATTGGTTAGTTAGAAAATAAGAAACGTTTTCATTGGTTAATTCATAGTTTCTGGGGAGTAAAGTCAAAATTGTCTATGACTTAAAATCATTGATGCAAGTCCTATTTCCTGCTGCTGTGATTGTCCTAGTTCCGGTTCACTGATTTTTGGCGGGCAAATCTTGCATATTATTGTTTTAAAATTTTATTTTATTAGATCAGCCAATTATTGCCAGGGTCACCGCAACAGCATGACGCCAATTACTGCAGGCCCGCAACAGTCCCTCCCCCGATGAGAGACAGACCACCACAGCGGGGACTACGTCCCCTACTCTTTACGAACAGTGTGTGGATTCTTTAACGTCCCACAAAATTTACATATGCAAGAGTTGTGAGACGGGGCCTACGGTTTTTCGTTCTTATCCAAGAAGACTAGAAAGTATAACCGTTTGCAGATGTCTTTACAAAGCAGCACTTTCTCCTCAGTTATTTAAAGACCCTGAGTGTTGGTCCGGCCGGGACTTGAACCAGCGGCCTCCCGCTCGGCAGACCGGCGCTTATCCAACTGAGCTGACCAGGCGGCGGGCAAAGGCAAACTAGCTGTTTTTAGCACGAGAGACAACGTTTTACTTATCCCAAACCCCTCCTACTCCTCCGCAATTGATTTATTTTTCCTTTTTGATTTTACATTTTTGAGACCATTTTATTAATTCTCATAGACTTTGCTCTTGACAATCTATGGATATCGTTACAAGAAAATTGATGTTGGTCACTATTGGGACTTAAAGGGTTAAGGGGTCAAATAAAACCCAAGCCACCTAGTTTGGTCTTCTTTTATTTAGGGCATCCTGTCCCTTTCATTTAGGAATCTCCCCAGGCATAACGGAGGAGTGTGTCTCATAGAGAGTTAAGGAAGAGGACTGAAGAGCAAGGAAGGTTTCCATCTTAAAAGAGTGTCCTTCAGTGATTTGGTTACAATTTACTAATACTGAGTCCCAGTTCAAAACCCATTAAGTCCTTACTATATTAAACAAGAATCGCCGAAAGGCGATTTTTAACTGGGCTGCAAAGGGGCTATTTTTTCTGAAGGGAGGGGGCGGCTATACACACTCAGGCTACCATAAAACCTTGTCGGCAACCATTGCATGCGACAGAACCTCATGTGAGACTGAAACATAAACTCATTCAGAACATTGTCCCCTTTTGAAAGACTTTCCTAACCGAAAAAAAAGAGTACCATTTTTAAGTGGAGGCTGTATAATAACTTTTAAATTCCACCATTATGAATAAAAATAAACAAGTTAGCCATTAATTCTAAGCAGGAAACAATTTGCGTTATTGTCCACGAACCCCTCCCCCAATCCCTCTGTGCCCCAAAATATAGCGTGACAGTATAACGTTACTAATTTGACGTAACTGGAAATTCCAAAAATTGTTGTCGTTCTACGAGCATAAAATGCGACAGACTGAGCTGATTTACACTAGACAGAAATATTGTATTGTATGAAAACCAGAAGTATACTAAAACAGACAGTTAACTGCCCATTGATCCCGCCTGATCCAGGGACCTCACTGGCTGCACGGAGACGACTTTACTGCGCTTTTCACAAACATGCGAACTCTAAAGTTCAAAAGCCACCTTCACAATTGTGTTTATCGCTGCCGTCAATCATAATTACGATCACAAGCAACGAACCTTGAAACAGAGAAACACACAAAACGGATCGAAATCCACAAATCACAAACCATGACCTTTTGAACCCGTGAAGTAAAGTTAAGTTTCCTAAGAGGTTCGTTAAGATGATTGACAGCAGCGAAAAACGCAATCGTCGGTTGGCTTCTGAACTTCAGAATTCGCATGTTTGTGAAAAGTGCGATCCTAATTTGCGGTCCACAGTCTACAAGAAAACGCACTATTTTTTCCACAAGATGAAAAATATTCAGTTTTAAGATTTTCCTCATGGTATGTTTCTCTAACTTAAAGGAATAAAATCCTTTGCATTTTGAGACCTAAAAAAGTTTAAAGATTTCTCGCTCGCATGTTGCGTTCACCAGCACGCACTTCAAACAATGTAAATAGATGAAACGATCGATAACATATTTTTCACCTGATACCGATGCGAGTTAAAAATTCGCTCCAGTTCTGTTTGTCTCACCCGAGACGAACTTTTCTTCATGGAAGATAATAAACTATGCCGTTTTATACTCGTCCGAAGTTTTTGTGCCAGCTAAACAATATGGAAACACTATTCACAGTGACTCCTTGGATATTAAAAAGACTGAACGTGACGCACTATTATGCCTTTGTTTACTTCTCATCACATCTTCAAGCGAAGTCTCTCTTTTCAAGCGGTGTGCGACAAACGCAGACTGCAGACTTGCAGACCGCAGACCTGCAGACTTGCAGACCTGCAGACTTGCAGACTTGCAGACTTGCGGATTTGAAGACACGTTCGGAACTCACGGGGATGGGGGGGGATAATTGCCCCCGCAGGTTCAATCCCGAGGAGGCACTCTAGTAACTCGCGCGTATATTAAGGAAAGTGCTTACAGTTGTAATATACAGTCAGTATGGCAGAAAAAACTCTCGATTTGCTTGAACAGGGGCCGCGAGGAATCGGTAGGTAATGATGACGTGATGAAGACAGAAAATTTCCAAGGGACCGGTTAGGTAGATTTTGTGACATTTATTGTGCAGTCATACTTCGATACTCCTTTGCGTTACGTGTTATCGGTGACATTCTGTGGAGCAGTTGGTTCAGTGAAAGTTATGGACCAAAAGACACTCGTTAAGCGCAGATGAAGTTATAAGGTGCGTACAACCGTCTATATAGAAACACTTGGAGATTTTACCAGACACGAGTTCACAAATCTTTGTTTGGAAACCTTGCCAGACACTCTTTCTCTCTCTTTGACCGGAATAAGACTCAGCCCGAAACAAGCAAGACGAGTGAACAACGGCTAGCTTATCACTAGCAGAACGATGGACGATTACAGAAATTCGCCGACAATCAAATTCTGTGCTGACTTATTTCCTGCTCACAGATGTCCTTCCGTTTTAAGGCCGCTCGATGATCCCACCCGTCTTCTTCTTCGCTGCTCTCGCTGAAGTTCAGGTCACCGTTCTTCCGATGTTAAGTCTTCCACGGCACGGATTTCCAGTCACCTGTCGAATCGGGCACTGCTGTGTTTGCAGCCCGCTAGCGCTGTTGTTTGCCTCAGACATACTTTGCGATTCGCCAACAGTAAACAGAGGATGAATAAAATTAGCCCAAAGCCCTGTCACAAAAAATGTAGGTCTGCAAATCTTCGAGTCTGCAAGTCTGCTAGTCTGCAGGTCTGCAGGTCTGCAAGTCTGCAGTCTGCGTTTGTCGCACACCGCTTTTCAAGCGATTCATCTCAATGCACAATAATTGACCCTAAAATTAGTAAAAACATATGGTTCATTTATATTAATGCTGTTTTTGCCCCTCACATTGACTGTGTTCGTTCGTATTCAAAACACCTTTACGAAAATAAAGGTCGCATGTGTGTTATGTCTCGAGATAAATGGATTATACGCTTTTTTTAAGTTTCCATTTTGCGGTGACTTCAGTTTACATATCCATAAAATGGTAAAAGAAATATCAAGAAACATCACGAGGGCTGAAAGCTTTCAAAGGCATGTTTCTGAAACTCGCTAATGCTGACATCAATATAGCGTGCTTACTGAATGGGCGAAAACACAGAATTGTGATCACAAGATCATGTACAAATTTAATGATAAAAGCTTAGCAAGATACAAATACAAACAAAAGCAAACCCCCTGAAACCTCGACGTGGGCTACACTTGTATGCTCTACTCAGTCACCAAACCTTGTCAGTAATAGCTCCTATTTTCCTCAAGTCGCTCTCTGTGAAGCTCCCGGATGGGATGTCCCGGTGAAGCTTTAAACTTGTGTGCGAAATTCTCAGAGTCCCTATTTTTGTTCGTGTCTTCTTTATCCTCAGTATCCGAAATTTAGACCTCCAAAGTGACGTGTGTTTCATTAAATAGAAGGAAATATTTAAAGGAAAAGCCAGTCTTCTAACATGGCAAAGTTGTCACGTCCCTCGCTCATGGACGTACGTAGTGCCATTTATCGGCAACTGAGTTGTTCGCTTCACTGACTACGAAGGCTTACAATCAAGTCTTCAGCCATAGTGTCGTCAGCTGGTGAAATACCTTGCTCATAAATTTCTTCATCGATCGATAATTCTCTCTTTGAGTTCACGAAGCGGCCACGGCGTTCCAAACCTGACGCTCACAGTCATCTTTTAGTGTGAACCTACCGTGAACGGCGTGTCGGTTTGAATGCAACGCGAGCATTTCTCTGACTTCTCTGAGTTTCCCAGCGCCAACATCATCTAACTGGCTTAAACTCGAACAATAACAAAATTATAGAGGGCGCTTTCCATTTACTCAAAATTTCCGGAATTTCCGGTTCGGCGGTAAATGGAACACGTTTCGTCGGTTCGTCCCACTGGAAAATTCCCAGAAAAAGTGGAAAATCTAAAAAGGTGGTCCCGTTTTCCCGGTTGGAATTTCCGAACGGAATCTCGTGTTCCAGTTACGTTTCTCGTAGTTTGTACCAGTTCCAGGTCCACGGTCGGGTACCGGGGTTTACGACCAAATGGAACAACTTTTTACCAATCGGAAATTCCACTTTTGCTACCACCGAAATTTCCGGGTTTTTTTCCTAAATGGAAAGCGCCCAGAGTGACTCCCATGATCGAATCGCTTCGAACAACGCAAATAGCCTTCTTCAGGTTCGCAACGCTTTGTGGGTTTTTCAGGGGGAGCGCAGACGAGGTACAAAAAGTATCCGTGCAAGGGTTCGTGCAAGAGAAAATCATATGAAACCATTTGTGAGAACATCGTTTCTCGGTACCAGACCCTCGTGTCTTCCCTCCCCCGGGAGGCCGTTTTTCGCCGCAGACGACCGAAAGCCCATTTTATGACTGGGCCGCACAGGCAGCCCAGTAAAGATACCAGAACTCTCATGAAACCAGACATCACGCCTTTAATCCCCAATATACAAATAAATATTCTCCAAACAGATCTCTATACATGTCCTTGAAGAATAATTTCAATGAGAGAGTTGTTAAAAGATCAGATCTGATGATGATTGATGTTGGTCACCATGGAGACTTCAGGGTTAAGGGACAAAGTGGAAGACAAGAGGGACTTTTTTCTTGAGTAAAAAAAGAAACATTGAACAGGCTGAAAGTTTTGTTGTAGAAGTCCACATATTTCCCATCTTCATTCATTTTATATTATTCTGTGTTCTTCCTGGCACCTTTCTTTCAACAGCTTTTGAGTTGACTGGAGTCTTTCAAGCTCTTGGCTTGTATTACTTTCTGGAAAATGGATCTGACCAGACCTTCATATCTGAAATTCAATCAGCAAAATAAGTTACCGAATAAACCTGCAACTTATCAATACTATGATGGACAAGGTGGGAAAGACTCTGTGCAGTGCACACATTTTTTTTCCTTTTTTGGACAACACTATAAACTTAGCAGTTTCGAACGCGGTATTTAAGGTTTGGTTCAGTTTCATGGGTATCCGGTCGTTTCGCCTACGGGTTGTTTCACACAACGCTCTGAACCGCCGAGCCGGTGGCCAATGCAGATTACAGTTTTACCTCTTAATCGAACTTCTTCATCGAGAAGCCCGCTTAATGTCAATAACAATCAAGCTCGTTTCAGACAAGAAGTTGAAGAGAATACAGAGAAGGAAGTACAGGCAACTCCAACAGAAACTATTCGACGACGCCTGGGAGCAGTACCAGACAGGCAATAAGAGTGCTTCACAATTACTCCGCTGCTGTTCCCACTTGAATGGACCTGCTCGTTGCCAGTAAGACTGAAATAGAGAACTTTGATATTTTTAACAGCAACGTCAGAAGTTTAATACGTAGGCGAACTGACATATGAGACGTAGGCGAATCGACTCTAACCGTAGGCGAACAGACCGTAGGCGAAACGACCCGTAGGCGAAACGACCGTAATTCGTTTCATGGTATAGACATTGAGAACCCTAAGAATGTCCCTTTGAAATCTAAGATACTCACTTCCTGGCTGTATATCTTCCTGTTTAATATCTTTCCTTGTTTCCTTCTGAATTTCCTCTGCAAAAGATTTGAATTCAAGTTTAGTTCTTCTTCAACTCAAATATTATTTAGCAGTCAACAAGAAGTTAAGGTTTCAATGCCTGTGTAGCTGGCATGATTAGCAGAGAGTTGCAAGAAAATTGGGATCATGGCAATTAGGAAATTAATAGTTATATTTAAGCATCAGACATTCTGGAAGTCTGGAATGACAACCCGAAGTCACTCTAGCCAATATATATATATATATATATATATATATATATATATACTGTGCATATGGTTACGTTCACTATGTCAGGCTAACAACACCCCGTTTGAGGTTTGAGATAGAATGCCAGTTTTGGGCAATCTAAAGTTTGGCAGATTCGAAGACTGGGTTTAATTGTTGGCCTAAAACTAAGGGAAAGCTTTTCTGCTATTTATTCAGTGTTTTCAAAGATGGCAAAATCCGGTTAACAGCCTGTAACTCCAGTTTTGGAACTCGACAGGTTGAACCAGCTGGTTGGACTTAAAGATGGCAAGACTTTCGTAAGCTATGTAAGATTTAGTTAGTTTCTTGTCCACATGAATCATCATCAAGTTAACTTAGATCTTATATAAGATGGTTTTAACTTGTTGTAACTTTTTGGGCTGATAATACGACAGATCACTGATCACTATATTATTACTAGATTGTTATTGACAAATAACAAATTAAAATATCAAGACTGTGTGGTTTTTGTGCACTGGGCCGATTATACAACAACAATGCTGTTTTCTAGCCCTACACTGCATGTTAAAGATGTTTTGAGCAACTGACTTTAAAAATGAATAGCATATTAATTCTCAATGAAATTGCAAATTAAAAGGGTGGCTAAACTTGACTATTCTTGGTTTGCAACCACATGATAAGGCGGCCATCTTAGGGTCAATACAATAAAAATTTTTTCCCTTATTTCCTGAAAGCATCTTTATCATTAGATCAGGATGACTGATAAATCTTTCGCATTATTCTGGTGCATTTGCCTGTCTGAAGGGCAGATGTCTTGCCCTCTACTTGTAACCTTCTTGAGGGCATCACTGTTTTGCCCTTTTTTCTGTAAACATTTCACCTTACTGATAACACTAGCAATGTAAAATAAACAATGAAATATTGCCTTTTCCGCATATTTATTTACTGAAAAACTCCTGTAGAAAATGCAGGAAATGGCAATTTCTGAGCCCCTAAATTTGAAATTCTTCTGGAGGGAGCATGCCCCCACACCCCCCTAGTTAGCAGTACCATTGGAGGTCTACCTCATTATAGGAAATTAACGATGAACTTTATTAACGTGATTTTAAAAAAATTGCATGAATTTAATTATTCTTAATTTATGTCAATGATAATTCAAATCACACTATTTTAAATCACTGTAGTTTTACAGCACCTATATTTCAATAACAAAACCTCATCTGCTCATAGTTCCTTTATCTAGCCTCTGAGTCACTATCTGACACTTATTCTTTAAGAATTGAGTTCAAAATGTCCTCTGACTGGTCTTTACATTGATCCACTTCCCCAAAGGGATAGCTAAGTTCTTCACTCTTTCTTCTTCATGGAAATGCTGCTGTTTTTTCCTTTAGATATGTACGTTGAAAAGTTTGTATTGCAGCAAATTCACATAAAATAAAGTTAAGTGCACACTGTTTTCGAAAATTTCAAGTTAATTTGATAAGTATGTAAACCTGACTTTTGGAAAAAATTCACATTAATTTTGTGTAACGCAGATTACCGTAAAATTCCGAAAATAAGCCCCGGGGCTTATATTTTTCAAAGGCCCTTTTTGAGGGGCTTATTTTTGGAGGGGCTTGTAGTGGGAAAGAAATTTACCATTTTTGCTTTGTTTTACTTTGTATTCGAGGACAAATTCCAAGTACATGCCCCCCGGGGGGCTTATATTCGGAGGGGCGATTTTATGGAGGGTTTTTTGCATTACGATTTTGGGGGGCTTATATTTGGAAGGGCTTATACATCGAGGGGCTTATTTTCGGAATTTTACGGTATCTTTGCATTGTCAACGTGCATCGATAATTTCCTATAATAAGGTAACCTTTCCTTCCATGCCTATTCCTTCAAAACCTTACACTATGCCCCTGGGTTTAGGAAGCCAAATAAACTCTGCACATGGACATGCATCACACTTTTTGTTAACTTCGTTGCTGTCCCTGAACAACTACGAAATGAACGGGAACAGCAAGGAGATGAATTTTAACAACTTGCAAAAAAGTTCTGAAAGGATCTGAAGTCTAATTTCAAGGACATTTTCAATTACGTTGTTGTTGTATGATCGTAAAGTCTCTATTGATTAGGTTACAACCTCACACCCACCCGCCGCCCCCAGCAAAAAAAATCAACAATGGGGATCCCCGCCAAGCGAAACCCTGTCAGAGGGCCTCAGTATATCGAAGGGCCAATACGCTGCTAGGGTTCCCCTTCCTATCAAATATTTTTTTTCAATCAACCGCTAGAAAGGTAGGCTCATGAGCTATGGCTCTTTGAAGAAAGATGAAAAGTTTTAAGCTCGGTAGCGAATGTGAAAGCTGTATTAGATAATCGACTTCCGGAACAAAGAAGCTAAGCTTACATTACCAATACTATAAAATACCGTGACTTACTGTACACTTCTGGATGTAGTTTTGGAAACACAACAACGGGATATAATGCTGCAAGGGTAAAAGCTGTAAATCCTGCGATAAAAATCCCCGTTTTTACTTTGTTAGACATCTCGATTCCTTGATTTTTACGTGCTGTCTACTTGCTGTGTTCTCCCCTTCCAACATGCGCCATTATTATTGCCAGCAGTTCAAATGGTCAGCGTTTTCCATAAAATAAAATACCACATGGTAAGACTTGTAACTTGAACCAATCAAATAACCGAGTTTGGATGGTGGAAAGCGAAAGAGTGGGAAATTGGGAAACGCTCGCGTGAGAGACCGACCATTTTCACTTTCTCCCAAGGTTTAGGTTACACAAATTTCTATCAGTTTCCCTCGATAAAATGTCCGAAAAACGCAACCCGAAGTGTTTCTTTGACATTTCTATCGGAGGTGAGAAAGGTAGGTTGATGAATTTTGTCCTTTCTGTGTAGCGTGAGGAAAATGTCTTACCACAAGGTTACAAGCAATGCATTAGCGCTTACAAAAGCTGGTTTGGTCGATGTTGTGTGACTATGCCTGTACAAGCTAACAGAGGTCTTTATTTTCATTTAGTTAGTCCCGCTTTGGAGTAGCTACCCAAATGAAGTTTTAGTTAGAAATAGACTCGATATTTGTGAGCCTCAAGTCAATATTTAACATATTTCTTGGGATCAATTGTCCTTCAGTCAGTGGCCATGTGCACTGTGAGGCCAGGGCCACTAGTTCATCAGTGTTTGCTGTCATGTGTTACCCTCATTAAATAAAGTTGCTACCTACCTACCTACCAACCTACCTACTGTGAAAAGCTGGTTTCCAGTGATGAGAGCAGTTGATAGGGCGCCTATATATGACCTAATAAAATTCAAACAAGAGTTTTTAGTGTCCAGAGTTGTAAGCACAATCAGAATCTTAATCCAGATGATCAAAATGTTTCGGACCCATTTAACTGCTTAAATGATTGTTGGAGATATGAGCATGAGCAGAAGGATTAACTAATCATAATGCTTATTTCCACTCTGTGATTGCTTTAGTCCCACTGCTTTTGCATGGAACTCTGGCAACTGTTAACCCACTCGCGAGAGGGATGAATACCATGTTGCAAAGCTGTTTTCACTACATTATAATGTTTCTGATAAAAACTCTGACCCCGGCTCCTTAATTAACTAGTGAAAACCACACAAAATACCTTTTTTAATTAGATAATAATTATCTAATTAAAAAAGGTATTTTTTGATCTTGTTATCCATTCGAAATCAGTTAATTATGTTAGTGATTATTTTACATCCCAGTACATGTATGCTATTTTTCTTATTAAGCCAATTATCAATATTGGCTCATGAAGTCAGCATGTGTATGTCAAGATTTCAAGCACACGGAAAGTTTGGAGAGCCTGAAAGAGGCGTAAGAGTTGCCAAGGTGCTGTCGAGACAATCTTCTTGTGCTGCTCATTTATGACACTGTCTTTCTTTCCCTCCCGCCCCACACCCACCTCCCTCTCTCCTTTTCCCAATGACTCTGTTTGCTGGGTGTCTGGCTGCTTTTGCTGGGGACTCATGGCTAGGTTGTGATAGTACATGTATGATTGGTTCTCAGTCAGGCTTGCTGGCCTCCAGTGGAAGTTCTTGGACATCCTAGGCACCTAACCGCCATTAAGTGATGCAGTTGTTACGGTTAGAATCTCAGTAAATGAATGTGAAATACCGTATAGAAGACACGGACTGGCAGTCTTGTGGAGGCTTTTTTTTCCCCCTGCCTATTTTTTTAGTGGATAGTCTGAATGTAAATAAGGGCATGTTAAGTACCTTATTTATGTATCATTAATTGACCCTTAATATTTTCCAAAAACATGAATCCAAAATTTTATGGAAAATTATGGTCAAACTATCCTCAAAGAAGAACAAATTTTTGTAACCATTTTATTCATGCATACGTTCATTATTATTATGGTTATGATGATGATGATGATGATTATATTATTATTTTACAGTGGGAAGGGTACTTTTTGAGTTATTCGCTGACAAGTGCCCAAAGACTGTAGAAAATTTCCGATCCCTGTGTGTTGGAGAAAAGGGTAATGGCAAAGGAACTGGGAAACCACTTCACTACAAAGGCTCAACCTTTCATAGAAGTAAGTTAGAGGAAGAAGTAGGATAACAAAGGGAGGAATCAAAGGAGACAGAATAATATTTATGGAGACATATTAATTCACTTAACATTTGCATTTCTTTGCTCAACAGACCAATCTGGCCAATCCGGGGAATAGGATCTGCACACAGCATATACATGTTATATTTACAGAATTTGTTAAAAACTTTTTCACTTTGAACAATCATTTTTTTCAAAAGTAGGTTGAGTTTGATTGTCCAAGTGAACGTAGTCCTGAATAGGACTGTTGTTGTTGACAGTGACTGACGTTTCGACAACCTGTGCGGTAGTCATCTTCAGAGTCAAGTTGTTGAAACGTCAGTCACTGTCAACAACAACAGTCCCATTCAGGACTACGTTCACCCGGACAATCAAACTCAACCTACTTTTGAAATGACTCCTAGGTTCAAACCTTTCACAATCATTTTTTTGTTATTAGACTTTCAGATTTCTTAGTCCCCAGTGAAAGAATGAATGAAGCTTTATTTAATTTCAGGTTTGATGAGGTTGGTTAGACCTCTAGCAAAAATATGCTAATAAGCCGAGGGAAAACAAAAGCAAAGAAAACAAAACAAATAAATAAAATAACAGAGAAAGAAAGGGAAATCTAAAAACTTATAAAACTTACAGTATAAAGTCAGTGATTTCTTACTCCCCAGATTGTTTTTTGTTAGTACATTGCAAGTGGCCATCACAAATTTACAGTGCACCTTGTGAATTGGCAAGTTAGATATTTGAGAAATTCATAAGGCTGACATAACCCATGTATTTTAGATGGCCTGACTGAGAAGTTTTCAGGGGTCAAGAATAGCAACCAGATTGCTTTTCATTTTTTCATTCTTTTTCATGGTTGAAGGCAAGCATTGCACATGAGTAAATAATGCATGCTATGCATGCCTTTCCACTTTTCAGTTCAACCACTGACAACAATCAGGGGAAAACAGGTCTTTGAAAGTCCTTGAAATATTGGGTGCAAAAGTGTAGAAACCCTGTGTTTTTAATCAACTGACAGACTTACATACTTGTTGGTTGTCATTGTAGTTATCAAGGGCGTTATGGCACAGGGTGGGGATTTTACTAACCATGATGGCACAGGAGGAGAGTCAATTTATGGAGAAAAGTTTGATGATGAGAATTTTGAATTATTGGTAAGTTATCAGATTTTTAGGATTTTAACAAAAGACAGATGATATGAATTCACAAGTTGCAGGAGAAAAGCAGTTGAAAAAAGAGTCTGAAAAATTCAGGCTCGATTGAAGAGCTTTGGATGACCAGACACAAACCAAGGCTGTGCTCTAGTAGCACCTGGTGACCCCTGGCCCCTAACTTTTGCTCCTTGGTGACTAGAAAATGTTAGATTTTTCATAGAAATCATCTGCTGGGCACCCTGGATTTTACATCATTTTGTTCTGAGCACTAGGCTGACTTGAATGTTTCTTAGAGCACGTCCTTGACAATGCCTTTTTCATTGAGCTAACCAAGGTACCTTGGTTTAATGCAAGCAGGCCAACTGAACAGGGTTCGTACAGGTCACTGACAACCAGGAAAGTCATGGAATTTAAGAATTTCATTTTTCAGGCCTGGAAAGTCATGGAATTTAATTGTTGGTCCTGGAAAGTCATGGAAATTTAGGTTATGTTAAATTATTAACATAAGGTTATGTTAAATAAATTAGATACTGCAGATGTCAAAGCAAGGATAATATAAGATAAAGATAGTAATTAGACAACCTGAATGGCACGCATTTTGGTGGCCACAAGAGTTTGTGTCTGTTGAACTGTTTAAGGTCAAAAACTGTGCTAAAAGTGACAACTAAACACTAGGTCATGGAAAACTTGAAAAAGTCATGGAAATATTCATGGAAAGTCATGAAATTTGAAGAGGTCAAAAGAGTGCGAACCCTAAGGGCTCCATGCAGAAACATTCCCCAAAAAGAAAATGAGGAAGCCAGGGGAAGTTTTTGCTTGGATCCCTCAGTAATTCTGGTTGGCTTGAAGTTTCCTTCAGTTTACTTAACTTATTTTCTGTAGTTTAAGCCCATAATTCATGAAAAACTACTTAGCAATTTATTAATGAATGAGGCTGAGTAGGATATTAAGCAGATTGAGGAGGGTGTTATCGGCCTCAGTGGATAACACCCTCCGAGATCTGCTTAATCCTTCATATCCTACGAAAGCTGAATTCATTAATTGCTTTATTATTCATTCAAAATAATTTCTAGTTTAAAAACATGCTTAGCTGCATCGATGTTAAGTTCATCTTCCGTATTGTACGTTGAGCTTTGTCCAGCTCCGCAAACATTCTCCAAATAGCAGATGTCGCCCTCTGAGTTGTCTTCTTGCTGTTTTTGCCATGCTTTAGCTATTATTTTGCCTCGTTCCAGCTGTAGTTCTTACTCTTGAAACAAGTGAAATGTCTGCCATTTTTTCCTTTTTTCACATCCAAAACAACTCAATCTCGTCCTCCAGGTCTTCTCGGTAACGGTGCCTTAATCTGTACCAAGCTGCATTTTTGACGTCACTTTCTCCTTTAACACAAAATTCTTCCAAATTTGGTCATCAGTAACTGGTTATGGTGCATTATGTGTGTGCTTTTAGCCAATCAGAATTGGGGAAATATTTTGAATGAATAATAATGTTAATTAAGAATTTTCTTGTCTTTTATTTGCAGCATGATAAACGTGGAATGCTCTCCATGGCTAATTCTGGTCCTAACACAAATGGATCACAGTTTTTTATCACCTTTAAACCAACTAGCCATTTGGATGGCGAGCATGTAGTCTTTGGCAAAGTTGTGAAAGGAATGAATGTTGTTAAGGAATTGGAGGACACACCGGTTGATGGTAGTACACCAGAAAAGGTTTGTTTTTATTGATCTGAAAAGTGCTGTATCATTAAAAGTGAAATTAACACCTATTAGCCACTCAAAAAGACATTAGACAACTCAATGTAACAACAAAACTGGTGGCAAAAACATCTCTTGACAAGTGAATTCACACTGTTTCAAAATTCATTGCTGTTATTCTATATTTTGTAATAATTACACAATAAAGAATAACAGCAATGAATAATTGTAATTATTATTTGTTTTGGCATATCATTGAATTCTAACAGGTTGTATTTGAGTTTGAATAATGAATATTTAGAAAATCATTCTCTTGGGGTTACATACCTCAACAAAACTTGTAATTAGGCAATCTCATGTGACTTAAGGTTTTCAACTGTGGCCAAAAAAGCACATGTAACATTGTTGTTTTACTAAATTAACCCTATTATTGCTTTTGTGCTGTTCTTGTTGCCGTCATTGGCGTCATTTCCTAAGTTCCCTATTGATTCTTTTCTCTTGAACATATAGCCATGTGTTATTGAGGACTGTGGGGAATTACAGCCAGGTGAAGATGATGGTATTTCTAGAGTTGATGATGGAACAGGTGACCTTCTGCCTGAGTGGCCCTCTGATTCTGATTTAGACTTTCATAAGGTAAATGCAGGTATAGAACTTAACCAAAATTGAGAAACCATAGTTTCTCACACACCAAATGCTATTGTTTTTTCTGCCACATGACAATACAACAGCACTTTATGCCCATTATGTTGTCTGTCACTTGACAATGCAACCACTTTATTCACTGAAATAACTGTCAACCATCACGACATTAAACAATGGGCAAAAGAAAAACCTTCTTGAACCTAATACACTACCTTCAAACCAACACTTTTTATTGACTTGCAAAGGGGGGAAGGGTGGAAAAAGCTTTTGCACTGTATTCAAGAAACAGAAACTAAATTTTGTGGCAAGTGTGAAAAATGATACCTAATTTTCTTTGTGCCTATAGCTGGTCCCATTCAGTGTGAGAGAACTTTATTTCTTGCTTCTCTTGCAAGCTCTGCCTGCAAGAAAAACATTTCATGGTACATTGATATGTAGCTAAGAATTTTTTCATGCCAAGCACATTCGTTTAATATATCAAATTCATGTGCAATTCAGTATGTGTGGGGGAAAGTTTGGCAGCACATGTAGCATGATAAGAGCCTCAAGCAAGCACCTCTACTTCATGAATGCTCTCCAACACAGTCACAGCTAGAAGGAGGAATCTGTTATTCTTCAATAACATACAGTTTGAGACAAAAAATTTTGATTTTGCAACAATAAAAATTCTTCATTTACAGAACAGCACAGTAAAACAAACCTGTTATAGGATTGCTCGTTACATTAATTTTTTAATTCTTTGTTAGCAAACAATGAAAAAAGATACTGGGTGTTTTTAAGCCTACATGTTGAAATACTGTAAGGTCATGAAAAGCCCTGAGTATAGAATAGATTCTCAATGATGTTCATGTTGTGCTTGGCAGAATCCAGGAAACTTGTCATGCCAGTTTTCTCTTTAGTTAAATTAGCAATGACAACATTGCCTGTTGTCTAACATTGAATTTCTTCTCAAAGGAGTTCATAGTCACAAGACTTCTTAGAAGGACCTAGCAGTCAGACACTTTAATAAATGATGTAATTATGTACTAATTGTCTTGTCTTTGCTGTTGTGTAATTTGTCTCTTAGCAAAGGAATTTTTTTCAGCGAATGCAATTGATGGGTGGCTTCTCTTAGTAATAAAACTATTCTTTTGTTATTTTCTTGTGACAATCATTTAGGTGGATGAAATACTAGTAGAGGCAGAAAAGATAAAATGTATTGGAAATGAGCAATTCAAGGCTCAAAAATATGAAAAAGCCAAAAATAAATACACTAAAACACTCCGGTGAGTAATAGCACTTAATCTGCTTTTCAGTCAAAGAGCAAAATAATAATAATATTATTTATTAATAGATTTAAATATTTTATTTTGCTGGTATGGTAGTTATAATATTTGTTATAATAATTATGCAACAAATATTTTGGTGTTGTCCAGTCTACCTTTTTTATTGTGTAGTCATAATATTAATTTTAACTATTTTAAAACTTAAAAAATGGTAATATTTCTTTCCAGCTACCTTAAACATTTAGACTCAGAAAATGACACAGATTCCAGTGATAGTGAAGATGAAACAAAAGATAAGAAACTAGGTGAAGGTGAAGAAAAAGTAAAGGCATTGTCCTTGAGTTGTTACCTAAACAGGTATGTGGGTAAAGTATGTAAACCATTCAGTTATGTACAGTATTCATCCTGGCCCATTTTCTGTGCTTTTTGTAATGAGATGAGTGATAAGCATAGTTCTCTAGGTATAAGGACTGCAACAATTCCCACACCTTTGCCTATCAACAAGTTAAAGCCAGTAAAAACATTCATCATTACTCTTGAATTCATAAACTGTTTCATGCAGTCAATGTATGTTGGTCCACCTTTTATTATATTTTGCAGAGCTGCTTGCAGATTAAAATTAGGTGACTATTCTGGAGCAGCTGCAGATTGTAATGAGGTACAATTATTAACTGTAACAAAACTGCAGTCATGGCTGCCAAATTAATGTATTCATATAATTTGGAGTTACATATGTAGCACTGTACATGTATGGTCATTCAGTTCCAACGGCCCATATGTAGGAAAATAATTTATGCTTTGTTTGGTTTGGAACAGTTCAGGCCCGAATCAGATGCCGAGCTTTTCATGAGCTGAACCTAATTCTAATTAAGGCCGACCCAAATTATTTAGACTGGCTGAATTGATTCAGACGCCGATCCTAATTGCAGCTGAACTAAGATCAAAAGGCAAAAAATGCTCATTTCGGTCAAACTGCTTACAAAATACATTATAATAATCTATGCATTAGGTTTGGTACATGAAAAGTTCTGCATCTGAATCAAAGCCATTCCAAAGGCGAAATTCTCAGCTGAGCCGTTCCAAATTGAAACAGCATTCCTAATTGATTCAGACACCAAACTTTTCACGTATTGTAATAATTCAATGTATTCGGTGCGGCTGTCTGGAACAGACTGACATGTTTACACAATTTCTTTTGTAAGTGCGTCATGGGTAAAACAATAAAGAAATACATTTTGTTACAAGATGAATGTGGTACTCTCTGAATACAAGCTTCATGGGAGTTGGCAAGTTCATAATCAGAAACTGCTGTTTGGGAACTGAATCTAGAAACTTTGAAAATCTTTTCAATTTCACTTTTATAGAAGGTGGCTTGATTACAAAAAAACAATAATTATGCAGAAAAAACTTAAACGTACGTAGCTACATGTAAAGAAGGGTGGGTTAGATCATGAATCATAGTTGTTCACGTTATTGGAAACATTCTAAACTATATATGTTGTTGATGTTCTCTCAATGGGGACACAACCTAAAAACTCCTGAAAAGTCAAATGCTTAATAAAAGCTGTTAGCTAACACTTTAAGGGAGGTTGATGATGAGTGTTCTTAAATTTGATAACAGGTGTTGGATCTGGATCCAAACAACATAAAAGCTCTTTACAGAAGAGGACAGTCTAACACAAACATGAAAGATTTTGAACAAGCAATGGTACGTTGTCCCGGGGAGGGTACTTAAGGAATTTTTGGGTGGTGATGTGCCGCTGGGACCCTGGAACCCTTAGCCTATACCAGAGATCGTTCAAGTGAATTTTGCTACCCTATACTAGACTAAACTACCGAAATCCCCCCACCCCCCATCCCAGAGTATCTGCTTTCCAGAAACTACTGAGGTCACAAAAAGTCCAGCTGAAACAAAACCCAGAGTTTGCAAATTTTATTGATCAGTGCAGTTAGTTTGACTCTTGCTTCACAAATTTTTGAGTCATTTTGGAATATTTGGAGTCAAGTATCAGACTTTCCAGCATGTGGTCCTGGCATGTATACACTATCGTGAGGGATACACGAAGTAGCCGTGGTGGTCGGCTGACCTGGAAAGCTGAAATCCATGATGGTGGTCATCGAGTAAACTTTGATTGTAATTTACCCTCTTCCTGTTTTGTTGTGCAGTATAATTCTTTAATTTCAATGACTTAATTAAGGTTTACAACATTTACAATTAACGTAAATATTTGTATTTGTTGTGAAAAGGGTAAGGACAAAACTGTGCTTCGAAGTGGTTCCCTGTTTGTTACTGAAAATTTTTGGAGTCGAAGTGACTCCCTCCATAACCTCAGTTGGGTCATCTGAACAATTTTGGCTTAAAATACACCAAATTTGGCATATTTGCCAACCCTGAAACTGATTTGATTTTTTCATATTTTTGAGTGACAATTCCTGGTTTCCCTAGTCTAGACTAAAATCTTCAACCAGCTGATCAGTTTCCTGGAAAATGATACCCTCTTCTAGACCTAAACTCTCTGATTTATATACCCTGCCCCAGAGTACACTGCTTGAAAACCATACCCTTCACAACCACACATACCTATGTAGCCCATATGAGGCAGTACCCCCCCCTTCTCTACGTATGTAGTATCTAATGAACAGGAAATTGTTTTGTATTTTTTAAAATTTGTTTACAAATATTTTTTCATTTCAACTCAGGTTGACCTTCAAGTGGCTGAAAAGCTGGCACCGAATGATAAAAGTATCAAGACTGAGGTGGCAAGACTTAAGAAGCTGATGGAGGAGAAACGCCAGAAAGACAAACAGATTTATTCAAAATTGTTTTCATGACAACTTTTCCTTGTTCAGTTTTGGACAAAAAAAATGAAACCCTTAGTGCTACGTTGTAATATGCAAATGAAAGTGAATAACGTTGCAACTTCAACACTTTTTCATTTGTGCACCTCTCTCTTCTGTTAACTGTGACAATCACCAGTGTGTTAAGATAATAATTTCTTTGAATGCAATAAATTATTGTTTCAAAAATTTTTAATTTTCTAGGTAGTACACTTTTACATCTAATGCAGGTCATAAGATTCATTATTAAGGCAATAATAATAATTTTTAATAAAAAGAAGAAGACATTGTCTTATATGGAGCCCTTGCATTCTTGTCCCTTGTCTTTTCACCTCCCTGTGTCCCCTCTCTGGCAGCCTGAGTACTGTTGGTTGCATCTTGCGGTTTGCTCACTCCATGAAAATATGAACGGAAAAATTATTTGTGATGCGTGACACTTGCAATACCTTAAGTTTTAAATTATTATTGTGGAAACAATATCAAATGTGCCATAAATGGTTTATGGAAGAGAAAGGCAAAAGACAAACAATTTTATTCAAAATTGTTTTCATGACAAAGTGTTACCCGTTGCTTTTTTTTTCTTCAAAAGCCTTACTATAAATTACAACTTGCATTGAATTACTGGAAAACATGTATTCCAGTGAAGAAGGAAAAAAGGAAAAGGAAGGAGGGATGAACTCTGTTGTGTTTAACGCAGCCTCATTCCACAATGATTTACAAGTGTAGAACAACATTCAATTCCCGCATTTTTTCAAGGTTGTTAAAATTACAATACATGTACATAGAAACCTTGACAAACACAGGAACCAAACTTTTTCCATGAGGCAGTGTTAAAGTACTGTACCAATGCCAACATAGGAGGGTTCTGAAACTTTACCTTCTCTGATTGAATGTTTTGGCTACAGACAAGATTAAATAAGATTAAATTTGTCACCTGTCAGAAAATTTTGCTTGGCAAAAAAGGCTCCAGTTTTTAAACTTTATTTTCAGGCTTTGTCTTTATTTTCTAGACTTTTTTCAGGTCTGGAAACTGGTTTATAAATTTAAAGACTTTTTCAAAAATTGAAGACACTGTACGTGCCCTGGAATTGTCCACTGTTGTTTAATTACATAATGTTCTTTTCAGTATGCTCACGGGAAAGAAATCATGGGCTTAGTAGTCACTGATCAGTACCAGAATTCCTACTCACTGTCATATTCAAATTCCTTTTTCAGTCCTGCTCTTGTCACACATCTCCACGTATCATCTTTAGCAGGGAAGTGCCAAGAATTTCCAGCACGTTGAACCACTGGGTCAAAGTTTTGCTGGAAGAATTTGAGTTTGCCATTGGCACTAGTTGAAAAGGATACACAATTCAACCTTGTCCACCTCAAAAATGTCCACCACAAGTTGATTGGTAATAAAAGCCGATGATCCCTGAGTCTGTCATTGGTTACTATTTGAACCTGTTGCATCCCACTGAATGCTGCAGCATACAAAAGATATAAGTCGTCATTGTTAAACTTGTTTGTATACACAGAGCAAATGTTCTCCAAATTATTAATTAAGCTTTGAGCGCGATTCCAAACTAGAGCATTGTGACGAATAATTAGCAGTACTTTCTTCTTCTGACTAGCAAAGTTGCGTGCAGTCTCTTTGATCCTATCTGTTGAGAATACCATATTCTTTCTGTTCGCCATTGATCCGTGAAGTCCAACGTTAAGACCATCAATAATGACATCAAATGGCCCTTGCTGTTTAACAAACTGTTTAAAGTCATCCAGCTCTTGGCACATTCTCTTATCCAGCTTTTTACCATGGAGTATAGTTACATTTTGTTCAAGACAACTTGACAGCTTGATAATTTCACATTCGAGCTGAGAAATCTCACTTGGGGCTATGCCACATGTCAGGTGATTTCCACAGTTTGAACACATTCCTATCTCAGAAACCTTACTGTTCTTCCATGTCCAGGAATAATATGGGTCATGTCTGAACCAGTGACGGATTACCTGGAGTAATTGACCTGGAAGTTTTACTCCTGCATGTTGAAGGTAACTAAAAACTTTCAGCGACATTCCTTTATACACCTTGTGTCTTTTGGCAGCTTCTTCATCATCACATTTCCTGTTTGAAGCGACACCTTCACCGTCTTTAGGCAAGGGTTGTGGTATGTTCATAGGGTTAAGCAGCGACGCAATCATTTCCTTATCTACCGTTAAACATCTGTCACCTCTGCTAGCACGACAGTGAGCCTGTTGTTGACATTTTTCGTCAAAAAGCTGAAAGGCTTTTTTGGTCAAACCATTTTGAGCCAAGGTTTTAATCACATAATCATAGTGACGTGTATGGTGGATCATGTTGTCATTTGTGATTTCATGTAACATTTCAATAGCCTTATCAAACTGATGCCGATTGCAGTAGGACTTGATCACAGTTGTTTTAGCTCCTTCCCCAATGTAAGTGACATTCTTCTGCATATCTTTATATAATCGATCGACAGCTTTGTGTTCACCATGTTCAGAAAACATGTGCAACAAAGAACTAGCCCCTTCTACTGACCATGCAAGCTTAACACCAGAGTCTTTTCTGCTCTCTTCGAACAGCTGTAGCGCAGCTTGGATATCACCTTCCTTTATGTATGTTTTCACCTTTGTTTCAAGAAGCGAGCTTTGGTCATTTTCTGCTCTTTCAACGGAAAAACTTGCATTCGAGGAACATACAGAGAACGTTTTGAAAAGAACACAAGCGCTTGAATGTGGTTTCAAAACCAAACTAAGTTTCCTCAATGTCATCATACCTGTTTTTCCCAGGTGAAGGATGCAACAATTCTCAACTTTCTCAGCCTTGAAATTATCGAAAGAGCTATTATAGTTGTCCTTTGAATAGTTCCAGTGGTGAAACATCGAAGAACTGGTCAGCGTCCACTTGATTACAAGTAAGTGGGTCATGTATGGAGAAATTTTCACCAGTCTTTCCTCGGGCGTCAGGAACGCCTGACCAAAAGGAGACGTTTGAGAGCATGAAGTCTGCGAATGTTCCCCTATCCTCGTGTGAAAAAGAATTTCTCCTTCAAGGAGTAAGATCAAGAAAGGTAAGAACAGAGATTATTACCTGACGTGCTTGATTTAATGATGGTTTGGTTGTCTCAAAGATTTAACGTCATCATTTTGTGCTTTGAATAGCGTTTAGATGGACGAGAAACATATGACTACAGGAAAATCCGAATTTCTTTTGGTGTGGACCGCGGGCACTGTGAGGTGCAACTGGGACGAACAAGGTACAATACAATCAATTAATGAATCTAGTTCACGGAAATTTATAGGGTCTTGTTTTATAATATGAGCTAGGTTTTCCTGCAGTTGGCGAAAAGCATAACGTACACTGTAATGTTGATCAGAAGTTAAACAGAAACAAAAATCTTACTATTTTGAAATGGCAGGGAGTCCAGTTCCAACCAATTGGTCGTCAATTGGAAGTCCCAGTGTGGAAAGAAGTCAGTCTGTTTCTTTAATTAAATATTATTTTGCATTATGTAGAGTCCTAGGACAAGTGTCATGTGAGGTTACTCAGCCAAAGCCTAACAGACCCACTGAAGGACAGCTGTTTATTAATTTAGAACTCTCACCCATGGCATCACCAGCATTTGAAGCAGGAAGGTTGGTTCTAATTAATGTAATTACAATAAGATGCCAATTAAATTACTGAACTCTTATCTGAGACATTACTAGCAATTTGATTTTAACTTTCCCAATCCATCCATCATTAAACAGTTGAACTCCCTTTTGATCTAGCTATAAATTGGTAAATGGTGAAATCACTAAAAATTATGACATGTGAACTGCAGAGTTAACTTACCCTTACACCCATAAAAAAGAAATAATTTTATTGCGGAAAGACAGCCACTGCATTAGCCTGCGAAAACATCCGTTTCTCCTCGCTCTTTGCCACTGGCAACGTTTTGCATGGAGGAACGTCTGCGACTCAGAGGCAGAAATTCCATACTGATGACGCAAATCAATGTTTACATAATAAATCCTGTAGTCATGGGGTTTCAAATAAAAATTTGTCCAATTTTATGTGTCTTCTGGTCGATTTTGGTAAAGTGTTGTGTTCATCTGCCAAAGAGCTCCAACAAAACTCAAATACTTCTTCTGGAGAAGACTATATTCTACAAATATTGACTGTTTTGTTAGAGATTTTTCACATCTACATTTGACCTCTGTGGGCTTTTGTGTTTTGTCTGTCAAGACTGTCATTTGTAAACAATAGCTAAAACAATGTAACTGCTCCGTCTACCAATCAGCGCTTCTGACCGGATTTCGGACAGATTTTACGTCATCAGTATGGAATTTCTGTCACTGAGTCGCAGACGTTCCTCCATGCGAAACGTCCCCAGTGGCGAAGAGCGAGGAGAAACGGATGTTTTCGCAGGCTACCACTGCATGGCCACATAGGTCAACAGCTCCAATAAATTTCAGGCAAGATGACTAGTGGGCAACTTCATTTGACATTGATAAAATTTATTATTAAAATGGCAAATAGCTTAATTAACAAAGAATTATTGTATCAAAGAATGCAGTGGCCCCAAATGTACATTAAAATACAATAATGTTGATATTGCTGTAATCAATGAAGACATGCAGTTGTACGTGTAAATAATCCTGTGTTCCTTTTATCTTTCAGAACAACAGAATTTAATGTCGAACTGAACAGATTTATGGAGAGATTTTATGTTGAATCACGAGCTGTAGATGTAGAGTCTTTATGTATTGTTGCTGGTGAAAAGGTTTGTTAAAGACGTCATTTAATATTGTGCTTTTTAACCCTTTATTCAAAAATTTTATTCTTAAAAATATGTTGGTTTTTGCTGCCTTAGGTCTGGTCAGTAAAGGTTGATTTACATGTATTGGACAATGATGGAAATATCACAGACTGTGCAAGTATTGCTGCAATCACAGCACTGGCTCACTTTAGGTTGGTTAATATTCTAAATGTTTGCAATTGTTTGCATAAGGGGTAAAATCAAGTGTGTACTGTAATTACTCGAATAAGCAGACTTGCCACAAGTCAACTGTGTGATTGCAAGGGGGGTGCTTGCAAAGGAAGCAAAGCCGAGCAATGAGGTCATGAGACGAGTGATGTAAGTTGCGAGTCAATCTCTGAGATAGATGAGGATGACCTGACCTCTAAGAAAACCTTTTCCCGGGTCAGTCTTTCTTTGTGTCATGATTTTTACTTAAAGATGCCATGGTTTGGTCTTGATTTACAGAAAGATGAAAAGTTTGGCAGAAAATTTTTTCGAGCAAAATTTTTTGTCACGCTTGTCACTCAAAGTTTACCGTATTCTTTTTTCTCTGCCATCCTTTTGCATACAACAAATTCACTATCATATTATCATTTGGTAGACATCAATTTTAGTCACTATAATTTAACAACAAAACTTTGAAAATGGAGCAGCTCTTTCTTCTTGGTCAATCAATATAGAGTGTTTGCAACCAACTGTATGCAAACAAACAGCAAGTGATATCAGGTTCCAAATAAATGCCATGTCTGAAATGGAGATTTATAATTAATGTGATACACCTTGTGAGGATGTGAGGCATTAATATGCCCCTTAGAAATTTATTTTAAAAAAAGTGTTGAGAATGATTATGCTCAATGCTCAAGCTTGACTTTGCTTTTTTGAAGACGACCAGATGTTTCTGTCATTGGTGAAGAAGTGACCATTGTAAGTGTTTATTTAGAGAAGTAAAACCAAGCAATTAAAATAATATTATAAAACTCAAATTTAACTACAGTGTAAGAAAGAAACTGATTTTCTGTCCACAAGGTATGAAACTGGGTGAACATATTAAGTAGCTTGTCCAGCCCTGTGTCTTCATAAGTTGTTTATGTACAAATTAGTACAATACTCTTCTATCAGTCAGATTTTTTAATCTTGAAAAAACTTAGCCTTCTTTTACAGGTAAGTTTACCCGTTGTGGTAATATTTGAGCTTTTGAGTCTTCATATCACGGTGTACATGTAGCTAACCGCAGGGTTCTCAATAGATTTTTAAGTAGGAGGTGATCACTGATAAAGTAGGAGGCTCTTCAGCAAAGCCAGAGGTGTCAAAACAAAGCAAAGAAAAGCGACTTAAACACAAAGTAAGCGGCTATAAATCCCAAAGTAAGCGGCAATCAATCGCCGGGTGCCGCCTTCTATTGAGAACCCTGTAACCGTGGTGACCATGTACATGTTGTGGTTTAATTTTATCCTTGGTTTAAATTTTTATTTTCTCTTGCTTCAAACCCATTATCATGTCATTATCATACATTTTATATTACCATACACAAAAACAAAAGGAAATAAAATTTAAACCAAGGATGAAATTTAACCACAACACATGAAACATCATGGCTTAATTCACCAAATGCAATCAGATCAATATAAACCAGTGTTTTTATACCATCAACTGAGTTTGCCAATGTATTGCTCCCTTTGACAGTGAACTAAAGACGACTATCGCACAGATTGTCAAAGTAGCTGCAGTCACTGGCAATGACAGTGACCTATTTAGGACTACACTCACTCAGAAGATCATATTCCTGCACCTAATTCATAACATTGCCTTCTCAGCTGTTCCATAAACCATTTACTATACATCTATTCTTCATGGTAACTGGCTGCAAAAAATTAGTAATGACAACTCCAATAATAACTGTTTAATACAGAGCTCCTTTCTCAATTTTTAATTTTTATGATAATCATGTCTTTTCCTTCATTTTTATTTTGAACAACAACAAGCATTAAATATTTCTTTATTCTGGTATCACCAGCACTCACCAGAAGATCGTGACCCAGTCCCATTGAGTGTTCTTCACATGCCTGTTTGTATATCCTTTGGCTTTTTTGATGAAGGGTGAGGTCAATATTCCTTATTTACTCACTACTGTTTACATGCACTTCAAATGATAATTTGTTTAAAAAAATGTTTCCAAAGTTAAGTGATGATTTGGTAATTTTGAGAAAATCAGCTTTTTCTTCTTTGGTTCCTTTTATCCTTTGTTTTCACCTGAAAATTCATAAGCTGGTTAAGAACTAAAGTAAAGCCTTCTTGCTTAGTTAATAAGAAGGTTTTTCCAGTGAAAAATCAAACACTTTAAGAATATTAAGGAATGACTCACTTTGGGCAAAATGTTGGCTTAGGGTGGAGTAGGTGGGCAGTTACCCAGAAACATATAAATACATGATCCACTAACAAAACTACTGGCGTGGGAAGAAAAACACCCGTGCTAACGTGGTGTCACTTTATTGCAAAAAATAATGAATAGACTTTTTGAGCTTACCTAATTCAATCATCATTTGGAGGCAGTTTGATTAACGTACATTGATTCAGGTCATCACACAGCAATAACCAAAAAATAGTTATTGCCAATCTACAATGCCACTCCAATATTAGAAATGAAAGGGCAGGAGAAGTCTTATTTTTCTTCTGATCTGCTTAAAGTCTAATGAAGAAAGGCTTAACAGAACTGGGAGGTGTTTGAGGAAGAAATGAGTGTAAGCATGCTCCACAGTGAGAAATGGCAATCATATCCGACTTGAAAAATAATTAACCAGACAACCAGCAACTCCTTTACTGGTTTAACCTAAAGCATGTCAAGAAGTTGACTACAAAACAGCCCATACTTTTGTTTCAGTTAATTATAATAGCATGGTCAAAGGAAAGGTCTCGAGTGATGGTGAAAATCTATGGGTGTGTGAGAATCTACACACTCAGAATCTTTGCCCCTTGCAAAACTGATTTTGGGGAAAAAACTGACTGTTTTGCAGTCTAGTCAAGAAGTCGTGACTCACCCACTGTCGGCTTAAATTTATTTTGCTTTTAAGAAAGTAAACTTGCAATTGTGACTGATCTATTTGCAATCCTGCCACAGTCTTAATTCCATTATTGGTCTCAGTAAAAAAAAAAAATGTCTAAATCCCAGGAGTATTTTCTTTTATTTCCAAAAAATTTAGCCAGCTGTTACTAGTAGATCCAACAGAAAAAGAAGAAGCAGTCATGAATGGAAGGATGATTATGGCAATGAACATCCATCGTGAGATCTGTGGTGCAGTGATGGGTGGTGGAGTATCATTAGAGGCAGATCAGGTGTAAATAACGAGTGTTATGATTTGATGATCAAGGATTAAATAACAATATTTTATGATTAATTAACTGAAAATTTGTAAAACACGGTTTACACTTGCTGGGTTCCAATCGCTGACAGTGAAGAAAAATCTGCAAACTGGCAGTGATTGATTTTGTATATGTTAATAGCACCATTTTAGCAAAGTGGATGGCAGAGGTCATTTTATCTAAGATTATTTTCATTTTGATGATTTGATTTGCCAGCTTTGAAGTTAAAGATGCCTTGAAAGGAGTCAGCTTCTCTTACCTTTGCACTCTGCTCTAACATTAATTTTTCTTCCTTTGCACTCCTTTCAATTCATTAGTTTAGTTTTCCTGAACTATTTCTTAAAAATAATTTACTTCATCTGTTTTGCTACTGAAGTGAGTTTTTGGCAAGTTTCTTTTTGGAGAGTCCTAACAGACGATAGCCTGATGTAGCCAACTCACATCACCCCCATCACCCAAGATGTTTCGTGAATTAAATGTCCCTAGCAATAAGGAATGGAAAGGTAGAGGTGGCTGTGTTTCAGGCCAATAATTAGACTGCTATTCTGTGCAGATCCTCAGATGCTCCAAGATTGCATCTGTCAAGGTTGCTGAAATTGTTGCTCTCATACAAGAAGCATTAGCTGAGGACTCCAGACAAAGGTACAATTTATAATACATGTTTTAAAAAGCCTTCTCTCAGGGAAACAGGACTGATGTCACCAATACTGAGGAGCCATGTCACAAACTTTTACTGGAAAATTCAGTAACCAATGTTTTCAAAGTGCTTTGATAAGGAGATCTTGAACTGAACAAAGGCTTATTGACCTTTACAAAAACGTCTTTTTTTAAAAAAAAAATAGAGCTGCTGGCAAGACAGGACTAGTAGAATCTGATACAAGACCATCAATAATCACTGTCACGTCAGCTGATGAGTCAGATGTCGACATCACAGAGGCAGTAGAAAAAACAGCAGGTACTAATGATAATGCTTAAGAAAATTAATTATTTTTGTATTATAAATACCATTTTAATTAGGGATTGCTACTATACTGACATGCAAGTGTTTTAGTATCCAAGTCCTCAGCATTAATAGATAGGTCTTTAGTAGGTTCACAATGTAAAGAGAAACTTACTGCATGCCTCCATGAATCCCACTGATGAGCAGTGGATCAGGCACCTGTCTCTGAATCTCAGTAGCTGGAAAAGTCACCCATCATTTTGCAACACCACTGCTCATTTCTTCACAAAGTGTCATCTGAGCAATGAGCACAGAAATTTCATACTGATGTCTTGTCACAGCCCAGAACTGGGTAGTGCTTCTGACTTGTTCAAGCAAACTTTTAATCAGTAGCACATCTCTGAAGTATCCAATATGTCATTTCGCTGTGAAACTGTACGTCCCTAGCAGCATCTCTGAAGTGGAGGTAACTGCTGGTTTCGGTCTGATAGGGGATGCAATCCTTTCTAAGCATTTAATCCAGCAGTTACATTCACATTTTTATTTGACTGATAGAAGAACCTCACTGTGGAGATACACTGTACATGTTTCCTAGCTGTATTAAGTAGCATACCATGGTGAATCTTGGAGAGGGGCCCTTGTTGGGGACTGTGACCCCACACCCAATCTTTTATTTTGAACTTCAATACTTTGTTTCCATCAGGGAAGAGTTTACCCTCTAACCTCTAGGTCTTGATCCACCATTGGCATATTAGCCAGTTCTTTTTTTTAACAAAAGAGCCACTAATTACAACGGTCACCATCATGAAAGTAACCTCTCCCTTGGAATCATTTTTGACTTGCTCCAACTCTCTGTCAGTTGGTCAATTGATGAATGTCCAAATCCTTCACACTGCAAACTACGCCTGCTTCTTTGTAACTTTTATAAAATAAGTTCATTTTCTAAGCCCATGAACAGCCACGGTCCCTTCCCTCAACAAAACTGGGGAGAGGTTTTGTTGGTGGGGAGGGGGCACCTGTACACAGGCTAAACTTGCTTTGGTATGACACATTTAATACTTAGTGCAATAACTCTTTATGGCAGACTTTCCAAATGACCCATCATCTTTGACAGCTGAAGAAATGTATCCTTTGTGTCTTCTTTTAGTTCAATATCATGGTTCAGATTCGAATTTCCCTTGTAAGTATTCATGTATACTGAAATTAGCCGTTCACATCCTTAACAAAATGCTTCTCTTAGCCCTTGGAATGCAGAGCTTAAGGTATGTGAAGATCATTTGTGGCACTTACGCAAATCACTCCACTGCGTGTGTAATTTTGCAGGAGGTTGGGGGTGGGAGGAAGGTTCCTACCCACAAAAAAAGTTTCCCACCGTTGACATTATTATGTTGATTGTGCAACAGAAGATAAAGTACATTGTAGAATTGGCCTGTATGAAAGGTGTTTTTAGCGAAAGGTAAAGAGGAATTATGCACCCTGTGCCTACATTTCCACTTCTCCTCAGATACGTGCTATTCAGTCTAATGTAGAGTACCAGCCTATATCAGAGCAATAAATCGTACTAAAGTGTATTTTCACTGGCATTTCGACTTCAAATGTGCTCATGCACAAACAAATGCTAAATGTTGTATTTACTCAACGGCGGCTGCCAAAAATTAATTTCCATTGCCACACACCATAACAAGATATAAAGCCCCTCATCATAAATGACCACTAACTATTGCTGCTTTTTAGGGACCTGGGACAGCACAGATTGGAGAGGGAGGGGATAATTCTTGGATCGTTATCGATGACGATGATGATGATGACAGCATGGAAGAAAATGATGACATTGAAATAACAGAAGTACAGAACAGCAATAATAAAGCTGTTATTGAAAGTTCGAAACAGACAAATGGAAGCAAAGGTAAGCAGATATTCACATGGAAGTTTATTATCTTTTTATGACTTCTTCACGATGGCTTGCTGTTATGAGACTATAGTTGAGATACAACCTAGCTTCGGAAGGCTTTGTAAATCTTGGCTCCGCTAAAAGATGCACCACAGGTGAGACTGGAGTGGACGATTCTTCATAAAGCACCCCTAGGGATATCCTCTTTTATTAAAAACTGAATCATTGGATAATACAATTCTAGAGCTCTGATTAGCTTAGCCATCATAGTATATGAGCCGTTATTATACAAGGTTCTCCAAATATGGTAACTGTACGCGTCTGCTCAAACTTAAAAACAAGCTGAAAATCGGTTGTTTTTACAAATAAAGTTGGGACGAATTCCCGAGATTTTGCGGGCATTTTAAATGAAACAATTAATCCACTCGTGCTTGTTGAATATGAGATGATTAAAGCCAACTCGACGCTACGCACGTCGTTGCCTCTTTACCACCTCATATCTAACGCGCACTCGTGGAATAACTGTTATATATAATATCAAACACGTGGATCTGTTCTGTTGCAAAGAGCTGTTGAACTGAAGGTCTGGATCGAGGGTGAATACGGATTCTGAGTGAGACTGGGAAAAGTGTATCTCAAGCCGGCGCTTTGCGCCCAGGCTTGGCGCCAGCGATATAAGGTTCCCACCGTGTCTCGAGGCACAAGTGGGGAGAATCGCGGGCGGATCGAGACACCCACTCTCCTTTCGCGCCTGGAAAAACCGATTTTGATTTGAAAAAACTGCACTGACAAGCTTCTCTTTGTATACGACCTCCCCAATTTTTAAAGGATTGTTTCTTTTTTTTTTAGTGGTGCAGTGCACTGTGGAAAGTGACAGTAGCGAAGAAGACGAAGTAGTGATTTTAACAGCTGAAAAAAGCAGCGCCGGATTTCAAACCAGGTAAGAAAGTTGTTGGCCGGAGTATTTTACGACCAACAACCGTTCAGTGTTTTTAACGTTGGAATCGAGTGAGTAAATGAGCCACTCAATCCGAGCTTCACCTTTGAAACTGGTTGTAACTTGAATGGATTCTCCTAAATTGGGTTGTCCCTGTCCCGAAGAAAGTAAGAAAAATAACTAAAAGGGAGAAGCGAATTAGTGGATACATTTTGTAGGTGAAATTCTTCTTCTATTGAAACGGATTATACCAGCCGCACATGCGCCTTGAAAACGCATCCGCCTTATAAAATGTACATCCTTTTCTACTTCATCGTTATTCTGGAGCTAACTGCCCAAACCTACTATTTCAAACCTGGCGTTGCTCATTACATCACTTGATTGCTTAACAGTGTTTAAAACAGCGCTCATTCCCAGTCATGACTGTAGAATATCCAGTGTTCAACTCTGTTCCGTGCACAACTGGCGCTCTCAGTGTTGTCGGTAAATTAGCACCCCGATGACAGTCAAAAATACAGACACTGAGGGGGCCATGGAAAGTGTCCATATCAAACGGGTTGAATTTGGAGAAAATGTAAGAGCTTTCTTTCCCCAGGGACAAGTAGAATTGTCCGTAATAACGAGGTGTCCGTACTAACCGGGTGTCCCTAAGGCGGGGTATGTCTGTGTGTGTTTTAAACCCCAAAGGGGTTTGCAAGCCATCAGAAAGTTAGCATTCAACAATAGTACATGATGGATTGATTCTGATTCACTTAATTATCACAACTTCCATATAGAATTTTTAATTGAGTGATTGATAAACTGATTGATTCACTGATTGATTGATTGATTGATCGATCGATCGATCGATTGATTGATTGATTGATTGATTGATTGATTGATTGATTGACTGATGTGACTACTCTTTTAAGCTCTAAGCTTACAGATTCCCAAGGCGCCATGGATCTCAGCGTTGCACTCAAGACCGGCAAAGAGTCTCAAGAAAGCAGTAACAAGAACGTTGGGAGCAAAAAGAAGAACAGAAGAAAAAACAAGCCTAAAAAGAGAACTTCTTCGCACACTTCGTAGAATTTAAATATTTTGTAAATAAATTTACCGTGACAAAATTCTTAGACTTGTAATTACACCAGTCTTTTAATAAAGAAAATTCCCTTGATTTTTTGAAAAGTGTTTCTTTTTACTGACGGCCACATTCGCGGACAATAGTGCTGGTACTTTTTTTACTCTTTACCCTGACTCTCACTGCAATTCATAGATAAGTGAAAATTGTGGAAGAGTCTTTGAATGGGGGTTAATTGTAACTGAATAAATATATCTTCCCTTAACTGTCAGCTGAAAACCTTAGGTTTTTGCCACTGTTAGTTGAAATGTGAGATGCAAAAAATTAACTGATGGCTGTTAGCTTAAAAATCCTGAGATTCAAACACCCTCACGAAGGCCTCCTGGAAACAGTTGAACCATAGTCGTGGTGCTTGTGATCGTCCTGGTAGTGTGGTCCTTACAATCGTCGTGGTCGTCATGGTCGTCCTTGTGAACGTCGTAGTGGTCTTTGTGGTCGTTGTAGTCGTCGTGATCGTTGATTGCGCTGTGGTCCTTGTTGCCCTTCTGGTGATCGTGGTCCGTGTGAGTTAAGTGCTGGTAGTGGTCCTTTTGCCCGTCCGTGGTTGTGTTCTTGTGGCTGCCTTGGCCATCATGTGGAGGTCCTAATTGATCCCCGTGGTCGTTGTGGTCCTTGTGATCTTCGTGATCCTTATGGCCCCTGTTTTTCAAGGGCTTGTTGTGGTCGTCGTGGTCCTTGAGGCCGCCGTCAAGTGCCTTTTTTATCAGATGAAAGAAATATTGAATACCCTTAAAGCCATAAACAAAATGACGGTTTTTTGTGTCTGTTTACTGCTTTATCCAGGAGCCTGACAGGCATGATGTGCTTTGTCTTGGTTTCCAATTTGTATTTGACGGCATCTAAACTGGCCACGTCACCCGACTAGTCTAACAGTGGACACGTGATAACAAGTGCTTTATCAGGGGGATAGACCATTAGAGAAGTTATGGGGAAGGAGAAGGGCAGGTGAAGTAAAAGCAATTAAAGAAAATTAAGGGAGAAAAAAACAATCATGCAAGCCGAGAAGGTCCTAGTCACAAAAAATTCCTTTACTGGCAAGATTATTTTTCACATCAAGGAAAAATCTTCTGGCGCAACATTTTGACGAAAAAAATTCATGCCACTCGAAATCCCCCATAACTATTATAACTATTATAATGGTCCTCCATGGTTCCTTGAAACATTAAGATGACAGGATATTTAAAAAAACGGTGAGATCGACCATCTATTTACCGTTTTATGACATCATTCATTGGTTTTAACTATTGTATGATCGTGTGGAGCGCGCAAAAAAGTTCTTTTGCTCTTACATAATTTCAGCGCTTTTGCACTGTACGACTCTCTCTACCATCGGAGTATCATCGACGCTTGAGTAGGTTAGAGTAGAGAATGTCAATCAGAGAAAAATTGAGCGGAGCTACTCTAAGCAGATCTAGTCAATTTACATGACTGATTATATGACGCTGTGCTGAGAAAGGTGTATTGTCTGGATTTATCGACTGAGAGTTAACCGATCTAAATCATGACATTCCAGCGATATGGAGCGAGGACGGCGCTCACTTCTGCCCAGAGTGAAACGTCTGACACATGCGTGTTTGAAATGTGACTTAAAACAACTGGAAGAAAACTTTAAATATCAACCAGCCCGAAAAGGGGAAAATAGCGATTATGGAGACGACTCTTTGCTGAACAGGAGAAAAAAAAAATGTCTGAGTTCGTTATTTAAACTCTCTGGGAAGGGAACGTCCTCAAAATTCAATCAGTAATTTTTGAATCGTTTATATACTTGCTTGCAGAGGTGAGCAATTTTTCAGTTTTACCATTATACGTAATCATGGATTTTATATTCATGGTATAATGTTGTGATCATTCTTCTTAACGAATTTCCTTGTTTTGCACTGTGCATCTCCTAGTGCGCATACAATTGCGACTTCAAAGGTGGCGGTGATTTTCACCAATCGTCTAAAAAGAGGTATTTGTGGCTCCTTTTGTAGTCCTTATGCTTTTAATAGCGATTTTGATAATTCTACCCGGCTAAAAGGGCGTTTGTCTTGAAACTCGCTCCTGTCCCCTCGTGCAAAATGATCATTTGAAGCCGAAATTGCCCCTTTGTCGTTTTGCGATCAAACGAGCAGAGCGGAGCGGTGACCCCCTATTTTAATTTGTGTTTTTTACTCGCTGTAGCTACCCAAAAAATATATATTAAAGAGAAAAAATCTGGATAGTTTAAGTTGTATTTTTTTTCGATATGAATGACTCGAATTTCCGCATTTAGAGCCACAGAGAAGTAAGAGATATTGTGAAAACCGTCCATTTCTGTACATTTTTACAACATCAGAACTGAAGTTATTTAATTTAAAATATATAGCCCAGAAAAACAAAGAGACTTAAGGTTTTAGTAAGATTCGTAGTTTTTGCTATAAAATAAGAATTTTTGACGGTTGTTTGAGTTTCGAACATTTCGCGCGCAACTAGGAAAAAACACTCAGAATTACAAGCACACGCCCAGCCGAACGAAAACATGCACGGTGACCCCATTTTTTTATTGCAGTTGTTGAATGCGCTATATATGGCTGACATTTGTGCCAAGTTTGAAAAGAATCTGGATAGTACATCATTTTCAAGTGACTTATGTACCTTAAGAGTTTTTACGACCAGATTCTCGAAAGTCTATTTACAATTTGGATCCGAAAAAAAATTGTTAACTCAGCTGAACATTGAAAAATATTACAGCTTTCAGGGCACCAAAATTATTAGGACTTTTTTGAAAAAAACAAAAACGAGCGAGCTGAGTAAGCTTATAAAAGCTCGGAACACACTATGTAACGCGTCGCGGCGACAGATCACTCCTTGTACCAGAGAATTTTGGTTAAAATCTTTGTCTCCGAAACAGAATTTTGTCGCTGGAAGAAGTCATAAACAGTCAAATCAAAATGAAATATGCGACCCGTTGGGACGATAAAATTCTGTTGAAGCGACAAAGATTTTTACAAAAATCCTAGGAAAGATCGAAGTGAGTCTGCTAGCAGGGTAAAGAGACACATGACATTCAATAAAACCAAACTAAGGGTAATTTTTATTAAAGATCACTTCTACGTTTGCTTTTCTAAAGTGCAGGTCAATGATAATTTCTGAATACTGTGTGCAAAATTCTAATTCAAGACAGAGATAGCTTTAAAGCCGCTTGCATTTCATGATACTGACATAAGCTAAATAATTTTAAGGTACTAATTAACATGTTGAGGCAAAGAGTTCAGAACCTTCTATAAAGCCAAAAAATATCAACAGCTTTCCACTTTGAAAGTCTAAAAAACTCTACTCCTCAGCTTCAACCATATCAACAGCCATACTCGTGCTTGGAACAACATAATCGCCCTTCTTAAATGCTTTCATCTCTTCCTCGTATCGCTGTTTATCTTCCTTTGCTCTGTGTTGGTACGGTTGTTTCTCTTCGTCGCTCATTTTTCCCCACTTGTCGCCCAGCATCTTGGAAAGCTCTTTAGTTGGGGCTTCAGGATGTTCTTCTTTTAATTTAGGGCGAACGTCTGTACTAAAGTACATGAAAGCATTCCTGTAGCGGAAAAGAAATAAACTTCTAGTAAAGGCTTTTTCGACCCTGAGTCGAACACTAAATCACGGTTAGTTCCGCGCGCCTGAGATTATTTTTCACTAAGTTTTCAAGCCCGTCCTCAACAGCTTTTTCACAGTATTGTAAAGAATCCGAAGTCTTATTGATACGTTTTAATTTTTCTATGCCCGGCATTCAAGTTTAATTTGCCAATAGAAGCTAGTTGTTTAATTAATAAGGTTCTATAATGCTAAGCCATGTTGAACACGACTTGTTGGAATAAATTAATTTGCACGGAAAGATATTTACCGTGAATGAAGGACAAAGGAGTCAGCTTTTATGATACTAAGCTTCAGAATTAATCGCAAATGCTTCTGAGTACACCCGTTCTAAGACGCAAAATTTCATACAAACTTATAGTAAATTCAAAAAACACTCCGATCCGCGCCTCTGGCATCATGCATAGACTCAAGCTGAAATCATTTCTAAGCTAAGAAATGCTTCTGCAGAAAATCTTCGACGTTTATAGTTTCGAAATTTCCACCTTTCAAAAGCAACTAACAACTGTGACATATCAAGCTTCCTTAATTTTTCACAATGCTTGGCTTGCCTTCGTATTTTATCAAAAATAAAATTAAGAAACTATAAAAAAAACCGGCTCAAACTTACATTGCTGGCTTTGGTTGATTGGGATCTTTCATCTTCTTCGCCTTTCGGGTCTTCCTTCCACTAACCTCGGATTTTGGCGGTGTGTAGTTTGCCATCTCGTTTTCATACCTCAGCTTGTCTTTCTCTGCCGCCTCTTTGAAGCGCTGCTTATCCCCTTCGCTTAGAGTTTTCCACTTTTCTGCACAGGCCTTGGAAAAATCCAGAAAACCCGGACCATCACCTTCTGTCGTTGAATCACCTCCGGTTTTCTTCAATGCTTCTCTTTCTTCTTGAAGGAAAAAGTTGTAGATGTTTTTTGGGCCCTTGGGTTTGTTGGGGTCTTTGCTACTGCTTTTCGGCATAGTAGATGTAATCAATAAAGCGGTTACTGGGGTCGTTAATGGACTCTTTACAATAAGTAATACCGTATTGAACTCTAGCAATGAGACCAAAGGCGATTGATTCAACAAACACTGCAAAGCTTCAAGTCTTTACCTTTTGTAAAGCGCTAGAACCGTCTACGATTGGTCAATTTTTCCCGCCACAACTTTGACAGCTAACTGATAGCTCATAAACCCTTTTGTTCTCCCTCCTTGGCCTTGACATTTGATTATGCAACTTTTCCAGTGTTTCCTTGTTTTCGCGATTTCCATGCGCTTTTGACTGATTTTCTCAGTTTACTTTTGAGAAAGTTTAAAATTGAAAACAGAAACTGCGGACAGTTTTCCATTTGTTAACGTTCTAAAGACAAAAGTAGTCGAAACTGTCCGCACCTGTAGTTTGCCTAGCCTGAGGAGGAGCGAAACCCTTCAAAACAGCTAGCCGTCAGCCGACCTT